CGATAGGAGCAAAAAAGAAGAGGGAAAGAAGAGAAAAAAGTAAATACACTCTTAAGGGAACTCTGTGAATTAGAGCAGACACATAAAAACAGAGTAAAAAAAGAGGTCATGCAGAAGATAATAAATAAAAGGGAAGAATTAAATAACATTTTGGAAGAAGAGAAGAGGAGAGTGTTTAATAAAATGATAAGTGAGAGATATAGATGGGGGGATAGACCAGGAAAGTATTTAATAAGAGCTCAGAGGAGAAAAAAAATCTAGGAATTATATTGAGAAAATAAGAGATAATAAAGAAGAATTGGTTCACTCAACCAAAGATATAGTAAAAGTGTTTAAAGAAAATTACAATAAGTTATAAAATATTAAGACTCATGGTACCATAGAAGAAGATGAAGTCAGCGATAAAGAGAGAAGACTGGCATATTTAAAAAAAGGCAGGATTACCGATATTAAATGAAGAACAATTAGAATCCCTAGAAACTGCTATAACGCAGGAAGAAATACATCTTGCATTAAAAAGTCCAGGACCCGATGGGTATACAGTGAGATATTATAAAAAATATGAAGAGATTCTATTACCTAAGTTGAGAATATATATGAATGCTCTGGGAGGAGAGATGGAGATGAGGAGGGAATAATACTCACTGCTCAAGCTATAGACCAATTTCCTTATTAAATATAGATACTAAACTATATGCAAAAGTACTGGCAAGTAGATTGAAGGACTTAATGCCGAGTTTGATACATATAGATCAAGTGGGGTTTGTCCCAGGGAGAGAGGGCAGAGACAACAGTTTAAGATCTTTGTTCCTTATACAAAAAAGTAGGAAAGAAAGAACTCCAGTGTTGGCACTTGCGATTAACGCTGAAAAAGCATTTGATAGAGTAAATTGGGGATATATGTTAGACACCTTAGAAGTAATAGGCATGGGACCTAGAATGAGAGTATGGATTAGGAAATTATATAGCTAACCCTCGGCAGCAATAATGGTAAATGGGGATTTATCCGAGTACATTGGGATGCAGAATGGAACAAGACAGGGATGCCCTTTGTCCCCATTGTTATATGTTCTGTCTTTGGGGTCTCTTTTGGCTACCATAAGGAATAATGTAGATATAAAAGGAATTGGGGTAGGAGGCATAAGGTGGCAGCTTATGCAGATGACATGTTCTATGTAGGAAATCCGAGGATAACATTACCAAACTTAATGAAATCTTTAAAAGAATATGGAGAGATGTCAAACTTAAAAATTAACCCAACTAAAACAGAGATCTTAAATATATAAACCTTACAAATAGAGAGAGAGAAAAAAAAATGTTACAGGAGGAATTCCCTTTTATTTGGAGAGAAAGAGATCTAAAATATTTGGGTATAAAACTTACTCTATCTTTAAAGAATTTATATAGATTAAATTATATCCCACTATTAAACGAGATTAAGGACGAAAGAAAGAAATTAGGAAGAGGATTTCAGTCATGCATTGGTTGGATAAACTTGATAAAAATGGTAATCGTTCCCAAAATTCTATATAAATTTCAAATGATAGCAATTAAGCTCCCAGAGGCATATTTTAGAATAATTAAAAAAATTATAACATCATTTATATGGAGAAATAAGAAGCCCAGAATAAGCTATGAAATCTTAAGTAGAGATAAAGGAAAAGGCAGACTGGGGGTAACAGATATGAAGAGATACTATAATTCAGTAATATTGGCAAGAATTTTTGATTGAACACATAATGCACAGGGGAAAAGTTGGGTAAACATAGAAAATACATTAAGTCACACGTATTTAAGTAGAATCATTTGGTTACCTCCTCAATTTAGAGGATTAAAAGATAGCACAAGTTTGTTTACAGGTAATGTTTTGAGAGTTTGGAACACTTTACACAAAAGGGGTGGGAATTTAATTCATTGTTAATGCCCCTAGGATCTACAAAGTTTTTTCCTCCAGGTAAAGAGAGTATTACAGGGAATTGGATAAAGAAGAAAGATGTTCAATTAAAAGATTTAATGGTGGGAGAAGAATTGAAAACAATAAAATATTTAAATAAAAAAAAAAAATCACTGGTGTTTTAATGCATTCATGGAGCTTTAAAGATGACGTATTGAATGAAAAATGACTCACCAACTTCAGTGTCTTCTGGTATGCGTATAAAGGGAATGAATCCAATTGTAGGTTTACTGTTTGCAGAGACTGAAAAACAAAGGGGCACTTATACATGATAAGATAGAGGTTGATTCCTATCTTCTGTAGTGCTTTGCAATTACCTGTGTCAGCTCTAAGGTGGAAAAGAGACTTATAAACTGCATTTCAGAAAAGGTTTGGAGACTAAATAAACATATTTATGTTGTGTTGAACCTAAACTGTAGCCATTTCTTTTAGAATATATTTATATTTCTTGTGCTCAGTTAGGTTTAGTAATATATTAACTATCTGAGAATTCTGTTTCAAATTACCTGCAGTACCTCAATGTGAAAGTCCATAAGGCGCAGCAGGGGAATGTCTGTGAATACTGCATGCAGAAGCTCCTGAGCAACAGAATTGGCCAGTGCCCTTTCCCTATCTCTCAGTCCTCATGCACACTGGATGTTTTGATAACGTAATGTTAGCTGTGTAAAGTCAAGTTAAAAATGTTTTTCAGCTTTTTGTACCCATTTTTGCATTAGCATTTAGCGGCGTTTTCCTGTGATTTTCAATGATTGTAAAGTAAAGATGACCACAGTTAGGCTATACTCTGCTTCATTATGGTAGACTTATGGTTTTGGGTTTAGTCTACATACAATGACACCCAATACTAGATGATGTTATGAATGAATTAAGCAGATCATCGTAAAACTTTAAGTAGTTGCGAGGCTAAGTATCATTCTTTGACAATTGTCCTTCCACAGTACATGGTGATGCAGCGTTCACAGTATGTGACAATGCACTGCTTGCTGTTGCTTTATCCTGCAGAATACGTTCCACACAAATTGCCTCTCAGCTGCTTTTCTGTTTAACAGGTTTCTGGCTAGTGATGTCTTATACACATCTGAGATGAGGTTCAGGGGTGATAGATTCAGGTGATGAGAACCAGAGGTTTTATGCTAGGATTTTGTCTACTTGACTTGTGTAGTTTTTGACAGCATCAAACATGAACCAAAAATGCAGTAAGCAGGACTTTTAAGGGGCCCTTTCACATTGATCAGTTTTTCGGTTAAAACTAGTGGAAGAAAAATGCATGACAAATGCCTCCATTTAAATCCTATGGAACCCTTCACAGTGGTCCGTTGCTTTTTTTCATTTTCAGTTGCGTTTTTTAAAAGTCCTACTTCCTGCATTTTTGGTGCATATCTGGTGTGGTAAAAAAAAAAAAGCACCAACAATGCACCCCTCCATTGAAATTAATGTAAAACACAGCAAAAATGAATCAAAAAACACAACGCACCTGTGGGAAGTGCCTTGTCCAGTCTGTCTAGAGGAAAAACGCAACACAAATGCATACAAAATGCATTGAAATTGCAACGCACCTGCAGCAAAAATGCATATGCGTTTTTGCCACATTTTTCAATGGAAGAGCATGAAAGCAGCCCAAGAAAGCACCTTACAGTTTTCACAGGATTTAAAGGGATGCATTTTTCATTCATTTTTCTTTAGCTTTTTTTACCTGAAAAACTGAAAAGGCCCTTATTGTGTTTGGGTTGGATGAAGGTGGATCAATCATACAATAATCTCGGAATCATACAATAATTAATTATTCCGAAATGAATTTAATTTTATTTGTTTTGTTATAATTCAGAGATTCTGACGAATCCACCTCCATCCAACTCAGAGTGCATAAGTATTATCTCCCAAAATAACAAAATTAACACGTTAAAAGCTGTATTCTGAAAATCAAATTTGAATCAAGTCCAAATATAATAAACATGTTCCAAAAATGAATCATTTTAACATAAAAAATATGACTAAATGAAATTATGAACTTATCAAACGAATCGGATATAACAAAAAACACATTTTTCCGTCATACACATCTCTAGCCATATACAGTTTAATTCAACACAGATTAAATATACCCTACGTAGCCAGTTATAATAACTGAAATAATATATATTAGTTACATGATGCACAAGAGCTATTTGTAGGTGCAATTTCTCAGAGATCTGCTGAAAAATTATTTGATCTGAATGGATAGAATGTTGTAAAACTATACATATACCCTTTGAAGTGACTAGCCTCAGGTGATACACAGAGATTAAACAAATCCTCCTAACAAGTCCACGGAAGGGACACTTCCGTGGGAAAGGGACAGGGGCTGCTGTGTCTTACCTGTGTACGCGACCCCATGTCCCACGTCGATCCGGTCCACAAGGTGCTGCTGGAGGAGGGGTACAGAGGGTGTCCATCCGGTATCTTCATCCTCCTGGATCTTGATCGCAATGTGGGCGAGATGACAAGCCACCCCTCGAATCTGGCCACACCCCTGGGATCACTGGGCAGCCTGTGACAGCCTGTCCCTCCCTCTGCAAGCTCTGCCTCCTTGTCGGTGATTGGATGCCAGATCTGTAGCTCAGAAAAGGCACACAGGCTGCCAATCACAGGCGAGGGGGCGGAGCTTGGAGAGGAGGAGCTGATCGGCAGCGCAAAGATTGAAGATCAAGTGAGGGAGCAGCTGGAGCAGCTGATGGGTACGTGTCTGTGCCTGAAGGCGGGAACCTGGGCTGGAGCAGGGGTCAGCACAGCGATGTAAGTATAATTGGTGGGAGGAATAGTGTCCCATCATTAGTGTCAGTGTGGGAGGAATAGTGCCCCCTCATTGGTGTCAGTGGAAGGAATAGTGCCCCATCATTGGTGTCAGTGTGAGGAATAGTGCCCCATCATTAGTGTCAGTGGGAGGCATAATGCCCCATCATTGGTGTCAGTGGGATGAATCGTGCCCCATCATTGGTGCCAGTGGGAGTAATAGTGCCCCATCAATAATGTCAGTGTGGGAGGAATAGTGCCCCCTCATTGGTGTCACTTTTCCTCCCACTGACACCAATGATGGGGCACGATTCTTCCCACTGACACTAATGATGGGGCACGATTCCTCCCACTGACACTAATGATGGAGCACTTTTCCTCACACACTGACAATAATGATGGGGCACCATCATTGGTGTCAGTGGAAGGAAGAATCATCATTAGTGTCAGTGTGGGAGGAATAATGTCCCCTCATTGGTGTCACTGACACCAATGAGGGGGCACTTTTCCTCCCACTGACACCAATGATGGGGCACTATTCCTCCCACTGACATCAATGATGGGGCACGATTCTTTCCACTGACACTAATGATGGGGCACGATTCCTCCCACTGACACTAATGATGGAGTACTATTCCTCACACACTGACACTAATGATGGGGCACTCTGAGGCCAGAGCAGAGGGATAGGACACATGCCCCTCTACACAGTCTCATAGTGAAACATGCACAGCTGAGACTGTCAGTCCTCTTATATGTGCTGGAGTGGGGGCAATGCCATATTCCAAGATTCTGTGGTGTTGGGATAGCCTGTCAGAAGTGACTAATGCAGATAGCAGGGGGAAGAGAGAGGAGACATAAACCGCACTCAGTGCCTTGGATTGAGGCTAATACACACTATAGAGGGATATCCACTGTTCATTTCTCATTTCAAGATTTACAACCACTTTAAGCAAGAGTCTATATGATCTATAAAACTCACCTTGAATTCCACCCATAAGAAGCAGTGGGATCAGGAACAAAATGTAGACCATTATTCCAGCATTTGTAGCCTGCAAAAATAAATATGGAATGTAAGAAATAATTTTAATTCATGTTGATGGTTTCACCTTTTAAAGCATTTAAAAAGGCACGCAAAGTGCAAGTGCAACATGAAAGACGACCTGTTTGAACCAGAGATATTAAGGTAAAGTGTTTGAAGTAAAATTTTACAGGGGATTTTCCCATCAAATAATTTGAAATCCCCTCTGAAGTAATATGTAGGACTCCTCGCTAATGCCAGCCAGTCCCTAATGCAAAGCTCAGCAAAAACAGACTTTCTTTGATTGAAACCCCATATAGCCTCGCCTGAACAGAGAAGATGGATGGGGTATGGCAGGAGGGATTCCACTGTCTTATTAACCACTTGCCTACCGCGCACTTATACCCCCTTCCTGCCCAGGCCAATTTTCAGCTTTCAGCGCTGTCGCACTTTGAATGACAATTGCGCGGTCATGCAACATTGTACCCATATGACAGTTTTATCATTTTTTTCACACAAATAGAGCTTTCTTTTAGTGGTATTTAATCACCACTGGGTGTTTTGTTGGTTTTTTTTTGCACTATAAACAAAAAAAGAGCAAAGAAATTTGAAAAAAAAAGTTTTTCTTTGTTTCTATTATAAAATTTTGCAAACAGGTAATTTTTCTTCTTCACTGATATGCATTGATGAGGCTGCACTGATGGGCACTGATGAGGTGGCACGGATAGGCAGGACTGATGGGCACTAATAGGATGCACTGATGAGGTGGCACTGATGAGGTGACACTGGTGGGCATTGATGAGGAAGCACTGATGATGCTGCACTGATATGCAGCCTTGATGATCACTGATGGACGGCGCTGACTGACGGCGCTAACTGGCGGAACTGCTGGGCACTGATGGGCGGAACTGCTAAGCGGCACAGATGGGTGGCATGTATGGGGGACGCTGCTGGGCATAGGTGGGAGGCATTGCTGGGCAGCACTGCAGGGCACTGATCATCAGTGCTGATCTCTTCCTGTGACAGCTGCTGGCTATCGGCAGTACTTTCTTCACACTGTGACAGCGCGAGGAAAGTGCTGCTGATAACCGGCAACTGTATTTACACTGTGTGAGATAAACCCGCGCCTGAACCCAACCAAGTAATTAATTAGTGCTGCTGTTTATAGATGAAAAAACTTCAATACATAATTTTAACTGACACCACAGTGCAAAAATTAATAAAAATTATGCATAATAATAATAATTGTCAGTGAAAAAAAAAAAAAAATTTCATCAGTGAAATAAATATATGTGAAAATATAAAAAAAAGTCCACTGTCCCAAATCAATGGTGAAGAAAAAGTGCTCCAATCAACAAAAAACAGTGCTAAAGGAACTCCAACGTGCTCACACCATCCCTGACCATATTGGAAGTCACGGATGGTGTGGGCACATTGGAGTTCCTTTAGCACCATTTTTTGTTGATTGGAGCACTTTTTCTTCACCATTGATTTGTGACAGTGGACTTTTTTTTCATATTTTCACATATATTTATATTTGTTTCACTGATGAAATTTATAAATATTTTTTTTTCACTGACTATTATTATTATGTATTTACACCGTGATCTGCTGTGTCATTGGACACAGCTGATCACGTGGTAAAAGGCTGCTGGAGGATCACCGGGTGCACATCCCTGATTGCGCACAGGAGGACGTCATATGACGCCCTCCCTGAACTGGGTAAATGTGCTACAGCTGTCATTCAGCTATAGAGCGGTTACCAAGTGGTTAAAGTGAACCTAAACTCACTGATTTAACAGTTTCAAAAAACAGCATTTAGGATGTGTTGTACAGGCGTTCCTGTTGTGTCAGGCAATACTTCTCAAACACTCTGTGGTGTTTTTTTTTCACAAGGCTAAAATAGAAAATTTTTCGCTTTTTGATGTTTTGCAACTTAGGCGCATTTACAGTGCGTTCCAGGTACGGTTGTGGCATGTTAGAGGTGAATGTAGGCAGTTGCAAAACATTAACACTTGTCAAACTCTGCAGGTAGCATTATTTTTGCCTCATGAATCAACGCTAATGCTGCAGTGTGAAAACCTCCATCCTCTCCCTGTTGTAACAATTTTGTGTGGCATTGATAAACCAGGAATAACTTTCACATTTGCTTGTACTCTCAACGAAACTGTCAAATCATCAAATGGCTTGTGTCATAACTATTCACATGTGCAAAACCATGGCAGTTGCAGATCAAACAGAGTTAAGGCGGCAGCTTCCTTGGCTAAAAAGGATAGGAGGGTTTAGTTCTGCTTTAGTCTGGTAGACTAGAGTTTGAGCTGTTGCGCTCTAAAAACATCAGCTTAATTACTAGCAAGCCAGTAAGACTAGTATAGTGCACCCCTTAAAGAACCGCTGGTAAATTCAGTCCTATTTCCCCTCTCGGAACAGACAGAGCCAGGCACACAGCATTTTCATCATTCTTCCTCTGGCTCAAAGATCAGTCTAAGGGTTTCTTTTTTTGCGCTTGGTATTGTAGAGCAATAAACTTGGGTAGGAATGGGGAGCTTGAGATACTGCAAAACTGTACAATTTGAGGACTACTTAACTTCTGGCTGCATTGCACAACTGCTGGCTGTACTACACTTGCAAAAGAAACGGATCACTAGGTTGACTGTGAATTGTACTCCTTCCAGAGTTTCAAAGAACCACGCTGTCACCCTCTGCAGAACTAGGACCCTATACTCACGCCTCAGAATCATCAGTTGCTTCCTGCCAATATCCACTAGGTTCTTTCCCAGTGAGGGAGATGTAGACTTACACCGCTGCTGGACAACTTGGGCTCTCTCTCACAGCTCCCTTCTGGTTTCCCCTCATGAGCTTTCTCCTGACCCGACTGGATCCTTAAACTAGGACTTGTATATAGGCTTCCAGCTAAGCCTAGTTGAAGCCTTGGTGTCTTCAGGCTGGCTTCCTCCCAGACTGCTGCCTCAAGGGGCAGAGCCCCTGTACGGAGGTGTCCTCCTGCACGACTGGACTCAGGAACACACTGCTTCTGCTGCCCAGGCCTCAGACTACTTATGAGCTCTCTCTCTCTCCACCTTCTCGGAATACTTCCCCAGGGATTGGTTAGAGTTCCATAAATATTCAGGCTGCAGGCTATGTCCTTCCTTCCACTATATTCCAGAAATCTCCAGAAGACAGGGAGAACAAACAGAGCAGCATCCTGTGAAACCCAAGCAGCCCTGAGTAATCAACCCCTGCTCCACTGTTTAAAGAGGAGCTGAACTAAATTTAGCTAGCAGCCTACTCTGAACTAGGAGGGTGATACGCTAGCCTGGCAGACAAGAAAGGAGTTATAAGCTTTGTCTGTTGGCTTGATGTAATAATCAAATAAGCATTAAAAGAACTTTCATGTATTTTTTAAAATCATTGTTTCTAAAGAAAAAGACAATTTCTTATACAATTTCTTTCATATAAGAGAAGCTGAAATGCAAGCAGTAAGATGATGCTTAAAGTGGAGCTAAATGTGCCCTTCTTTTAACTATCTATGTCCCAGCACCACCATCTTCTGCTGGGTTTGGCCTTTAGGTGTATTTATTGGCCGGCATGGGATGACGTTAGTCCTATTCATGTGTGGGACTTCAGTCATTCTGGCACACACACCCTGTGATGGAATGTAAACGGAGTTGTGCTTGCATAATTACATAGTTAGTCTGGCTGAAAAAAGACAAAAGTCCACCCAGTTCAACCAGTACAAAAAAAAAAAAAAAGACCAACAATTTTGAGAAAAAAACAATATTTTTTTACTTTTTGCTATTCAGCATGTCCAGTAAAAAAATTTAAAAAATCACATTTTCTCAAAAATGTAGGCCAAAATGTGTTCTGCTACATGTCCTTGCTAAAAGAAAATCCCAATATGTGTAAATTAATTGGTTTACATGAAAGTTCTTCTTCTTCTTGTATTGGTGACACTGGGGATAGCACTGATCACTGTATTGGTGTCACTGGGGATGTCAGTGACACCAAGTCAGTTCCCCCCAATGTCAGAATGCCGGAAGAGGAAGAAATTTCATGTAAACCAATTAATTTACACATATTGGGATTTTTTTTAGCAAAGACATGTAGCAGAATACATTTTGGCCTAAATTTTTGACAAAATTTGATTTTGTAAATTTTTTTACTGGACATGTTGAATAGCAAAAAGTAAAAAAATATTGTTTTTTTTGCACTGACACTGTTCTAATGGCACTGGGCCCGGAAGGGATTAACATGAGGGGTGATCAAAGGGTTAACTGTGTGATGGGTGTGTTTTACTGGGGAGCGGTGTGTTGGTGCTTCACTGTAATCACAGTGCTCTAGATGGCTGTGCACAGTCATCCAGAGCAGTGTGTCCGAGCCGACAGGGAGGAGGACTGTTAGTAAACAAAGTAGCCCTCCTCCCCATCGGAGATCCTTGGTAATCACCAGGCGCTGGCAGGTAATCACCGGCCGGGACTTGGTGATTGACAGCCGTGGCTGCGAATGGTGACGCAGGTAGGGCTCGCTCGCACCCCCTACCCGGAAATGCAAAATCACATATATATATGTGATTTTGCGCACCCCTGCTGCCCTGTAGCAGTATATCTGCT